AGACAATTCAGTGCTTTATTCACACAAAGTAAATGGGTTGGCGTTTGGCTTTAAGGAAGTACGTATACACTTTACGGTATTAAATGGTTTCTTTACGAATACCAAAAATTTTATCAACACTTAAAGCTTTCAAATGACGGACAAATATATCGGCGTACGTGTCTTCAAGATAAGGTTCTCTTATTCTAGCTTTGTCCTTTCCTGGAGTTTCAAGCTTTTCAGCGATAGGCATATACCTTTTTGAAGATTGAACATTTTTAGTTTGAGGTACAGAAGATGTACTAGGATCACTTGGTGGTTTAGCAAAAACCTGAAAAGGAAAGCTTGATTTATCAACATTTATATCTGCTTCAAAGTCAAATAACAATTCATATGAATTAGCAACTTTTCTTTCCCATTCAATATTAAAATTATGAACTCCACCAACTTCATCAGCAAAAACATCATTATAACCAACATTAGCTGACAGACTCAACAACCTCCTTGTTTCTGCAGTGGAAAACTATGATTGGTTAAAAACAAAGCACACATATTAGGTCAGTTGATATTCTTCATCACCCAACACTATGTCTAATGAGATACGGTCATCGTTCAAGCTTTATTCGATGACGGAGTTCATCACCCAACACTTTGTCTAATGAGGAGGTTCATCGCCCAAGCTTTGGTCGATGAAGCATACTCACCGTTCAAGTTTTAAACAATGAACAAGCTTGTACCCTTAAGCTTCATAACCCAGGCCTTGGGCGGATTAGTAGCTCATCGCCAAGCCTTTGTCCGGATACCTATTTCATCGCTCAAGCCTTGGGCGGATTGAGTGCTACTCATCGCCCAAGCCTTTGTTAAATGACTCATCTCCCAACTCTTTACTTCTTCAAATAACCTGTAAAAATTACAATATATTCAAATATATTAGTTAAGTATCCATTTATCATCCAGATAAGTATGAAAAACACTTACTCCCCCTTGAAATTAGATTAGATAAAATTCAAATACTCCCCTTGATATTTAAATTAGTATTCTATTGATACAGATAAGCCTAGGTTCTAAACTGAGTTGTTCAGAATCTGTCATGAAGAATAGGTCCTGAACTGATTTGTTCAGAAACTACTGTGGCACTTCATACACTCCCCCTCAAACCAAGCCTCAATCTATCATGTGATTAAATATCTGAATTTAGCACAACACATGACAAACCTACAAAACAGATTAAACAGATTTTGGTACCCATACTTTCATGGATCCTCATTTGTTAGCATTGGTTTGGGGTATATTGTATATACCATACCATCTGTTCAGATCATATATTTTCAGTTTAGAACTCTTCACAGGGAAGTTATATATGCAATAAGTATCATACCAATTATTATCATACCTGATATTGCCATACCAACCATCATCAAACCTCGTATTACCATTCCAGTTGTTTCCATACCAGCTATTTGCATACATATCATTTGCGTACAAACTTTTAGCTTTCTTCTTATTGACAAAGTCATTTGCTCCACAAGTTAAAAAACAAATATTTTTCTTGCTAAGAATGATTAGCTGGTTAGTAGATTCAACAACACAAGGTAAAGCAGTCTTAGAAACAAATGACTTTTCATTACACACAGAATATTGAAAAGACTTACCATCAGAGTCTTTTGTATCTGATTTCTTCAGCCAAACCTTTTTCATTCTTTTAAAATGATTCCCTGAATCAATGACATAACCTTTGTAGAAATGATCTGAAGTATGAGATTTATTCTTTGAAGCACTTGATTTAGTACTGCTAGATTGACTGTTTGATTTAACACTTGAATAGTCATTCATACAGATTTTACACTTAGAAGGAGCAGTTGAAATTGAAGTGCTTATTTCAGAAAACTCTTTGAGTTTCTTTAACAACTTATCTCTTTCTTCATAAACTAAATCACATTTCCTTTTGAAGTCAGATCTCATATTTTTCTCAATTACAAGATCAATTTTCAATTCAGATAATTTCTTTGAAGTTTCAACTATTTTACTTTTAAAAACTTTTCTTTCTTTTTCAAAATCTTTTCTTTCTTTTCCAAAATCTCCTTTCTCATTCTCAGAAGCAACATCTAACCACTTCTTCTTTCCAACTAACTCTTTAGCTAAAATAGCAATTTTCTTTGCTGCATTCTTTCTTTCAGTAGGAAAGATTTTCTCTCATCATCCAGAATCTTCTGAATAGCAACAATACTCTTTGAAAGCTCCATACATTTCTTATTAGATTCTTTCCTTTCAGTTCCAAATTTTGCTCTTTCCACAATAACTACCTTATCAAAGTAAGTGATTTGCTCTGAAAGCTATAAAGATTCACCTCACAAGACTTTAATATGCTTTCAAGGATCTTCCTTTCAACATCAAACTTCTTTTCAGCCTCTATGAACTTATCCTTCTCTGTAGAGTATGCACACTTTGCATAAAGTGTGGTGTGCACACCGTGTTCACAATATATATCACATGACTAGTACAAATGTAGTTTAAAATGGTGTTCACATCGTGATCACATTATTTTGTTTATAATGGTGTTCATAATATACGTTCAAAGTGTTCATAAGGTTCTTCACGTCGTGTTTACATGTTGTAACAAAACATATATAGTAAAGTGATAGGTTTGGTTTTATGGATAAGTTACTTACTGTTCACAATGTGGTGATAAACTTCACAATGTTGAATGTGATGCTAGTGGTCGAAGGTGTTGGGCGACGAAGGATAGAGGAGAGATGAAATTTACAAATACATATAATGCCCTTTATTTAATTTTGTAATTCAAATTATCAGAATTACTAACTTCCTAATTTAGTGGTTTAAAATAAACCTCACAGTTCCCATAAATTGTCAATTTCTTAAAAGAAGCCCCTTATTATATTATATTATACATACATACATACATATTTATATTATATTATAAAGCATTTGATAAAAACTTTTGAAAACCATTTTTTATGTATGAAGTACTGTTTACTGATGCATATTACTTAAAACTCAAGATTACAAGTAAATTTTGCATAAATATAACTTATTAAAGTTTTATGTTTGAATTCGTGTAACTAACTACAGATAAACACAATCTAAAGGATAAAAATTTCATTTTAAATATAAAAAATCTAAAATATAATTAAGATAATCATTAAGTTCTAATAAAATAATTAATTGTTATCTTTATAAAAAATTATATTATTAAACCAAAAATAAAAAAATGAATTAAAGAAATACACAAGAAAAAAAATTAATAGTTAATTTGGTACTAATATCAATATTTTTTTTCAATTCTTTATAATATCTTCATACTTATATTTCATTTAAAAATAAAAACATTATTACTTTCCCAAACCCACATAAATTCGTATTATATCGATAAAGACAGGATAAAAAACTAAACATTAAAATGGTGATTTATCTCGTTGCATTGTACGAGTACCCTTCTAGTATATATATATACATACATATATATATATATATACACACACACACACATATATACATACATAAGAAATAAAATTGATATTCTATTAATTTACATATTTCATTATTAAATTATTTTGATCATCTGATTTGTATTAACTAACATATTATATTATTAATGATTTGCTCTAAACATATTATGAAATATTATAATTTACTAATTTTTAGCATGTTATTTTTGGTTATTTTTTACATTTTTAACTAATTTATCAGCTATTTTTTGTTATTAATTATCAGTTAGCTTATCAACTATTAACTAGCTTATTAGTTAACAACTAACTTATTAGCTAGTTTTCCAAACATAGCCTTAGTTATTCTTTTCATCACTATGTTTCATTGAAACTCTAGTTTATGTCATCAATTTCATTTATTACAAATCTTTTCTTATGGTTTGCATTTTGTTTTGGTTTTTATACCTTTTTTAGGGTGCGTTTAGTATCTATACAAGATATGACATGAAAGAACAGAACATGACAGAAAAATTGTTCTGTAATACCCAAATTTTTGTATACTTCCATTTCATATATGAATGTTTAGTTTTGGCCTTGCAATTAACAAAAAGGTGTATTTTTTTTTCGTTTTATTGGTACAATGTCTTTTACTACTTATTTGTCGATACATGAAAAAATAATTGATATACTTGTTTTTATTTTGTGATGTAAAGTTTTATCATTCAAAAATATATTCGGAATCGTTGAAAATGTGAGAATTTGTTGGTTTTTTTTAACAAGTACATAAGTTTATTCGTTAATTTAATAAATACATAAATTTATTTCTTAATAAAAGTTAAGGAACTAATCACTCAAATTGTAAACCTACGTAAGTTACCTTTTTTGAGATTTCTCCCATTCGACAACAGTTTTTCCGTAAAATATTGTGTTTCTACGTGTAGGCAAGATAAGCCTCACAAAAAAATATCATTTAATAGACGAACAGCCCGATCCTTTGGAACATACTACAGCTTAGGTGGCAAAGAGTCGACATCGAGGTGCCAAACCTTCATAACCCTCTTATCGGTAAATTTAAAGAAAATTCCCAAGTCAAATAAAAATCACACAAACACACCTTAACCCCTCGTGTTTGAATTTCATCATCTTTAGTTTCAAAATGGATATGCAGAGTGTTTAATATTCACATAAAAGCCTATTAAGAATATTATATATAAAAAGTCAAAAAAATTACAATTCATCCTATTAATATAATATAGAGAGAATGGTTGAAACAAAAACAGTAACTAAATAAAATAACATGAAAACATGTGATTTTACACTATTACAGTCAACGTAAAGGTGTGCGGGCGTGTGGTCGCGAAGTCGCACGAATCATTTATGATTTTACACGTGATTTTTGTGTAGAATGATCATATTTGATTCGACCATTTTCTTATTCTTTTATTTACTCAATGTTCTCGTATAAACATGTTTCTCTTCTCTCTCTCTCTTTGTGTATATATATATATATATATATATATATATACATATACATATATATAATAATGTGCGTAGGAGGTGCTCTTAACTCTGACTTCATCTTTCCAAGTTCTTCAATCTGTTTAAACCACAATAATCATTTTCATCATATTCACATGGCTCAGGTGATAATTTCTTCCTTTTTCCCATCAATTAAACATATATTATTTTATAGTTTTTTAACCTAAAACTTTAAATATTCTGAATCTTGATTGTTTATTGGATAAAACCCTAAAGACTTGATCAAAAAATTGTAAAAACAGAAGGTGGTGTTGAAAGTTGTTAGCATGACTGATGACAAAACCAAGCAAAAAGCCATTGAAGCTGCTGCTCATATTCATGGTTTGTGCTTAATTAATTCCATATGCTGCATCCATGATTCCATTTTTGTGTGAGACAATCCAAATTGGATGGTGCGATCTGTGGACATTCGAAGCTAATTAAGTTGTTACAGGAGTGGATTCGATAGGTGCAAATCTTGAAGATCAGCAGGTGACGGTGGTGGGAGAGATGGACGCGGTGGCGGTCGTCAAGAAGCTAAAGAAAGTTGCAGGGATGGTGGAAATCATATCAATTGGCCCTGCTGCTGATCAAGAACCTCCACCTCCACCTCCACCTGATCAGAAAAAGAAGAAGAAGAAGAAGACGACGACGAAAAAGAAGAAGAAGAAACAAGAAGATAATAAAGGTGAAGGCAAAGAAGAAAAGAACAAAAATGGTGGAGAATTAACGGGGTATTATCCATCACCTTCTTTGTATTCATCCCGAATGCATGGCCACATCGAAGGCTTTGTGAATTAAACATTGGTTCGACCTGATGCGAAGGTGTAGTAGACTTGTGGTATCCGATAATCGTATTTTCCTGAAAGTCAGTGGTTCAAGTCTTGTTACAGATGAAAACTTAGGGGCCGTTTATCCAAATGCTTACTCGGTAAGCGCATATTGATATGAATCAACACTATCATTTATTTTGATGCGTAAGAATTTTGTACATCAAAACATATCGAATACGATAATTTACTGGGTAAGCATTTGAATAATTCTCAAATAATTTTAAGATATTCTTTTATTGACTGGTGTTTAACCCTCTTTTGTCTCAAAGAAATGGAGGTGAAGAAGAGATGTTATTTTGGAAACAAAATTTAGTGGCTGTTTGGTAGTTGTTGAATGGTTTGGTGTAGAATGATTAAGTGATCAAAATAATTAAGAGGCTATCATGATATAGTGCAAAATAAAATAGATTGTTCAGTAATTGTTTACAATGGAATTAGGGTGCTGAATGGTTAAGGGAGGCCTAAGATACAAAATCATTCAAAGAATTTTAGAACCATTAAGAGACAGAATTTTTTTTTTCCCAAACAAGATTCACCTTTTAACGATTCAGAGGTTGTCTTTTAATGAAACTATTAAGAGGTAAATAAACGACCCCTTAATTGTTATGCTTATTTAATCTACAACTTGAATAAATAATGTTATATTTTATAAAAGAGTAAAATTACATTTTTGGTCCTTGTAATTATCACTCACTACTGAGTTTGGTCCATCTTTTAAACTAATTATAATTTTAGTCATTATGGTCGTCATTTTATTTCAATTTTGGTCCTTCTGGCTAACTCAAGTTAAGAAGGTTAGGGGATGTTTAAAAAACTCAAGTTAAGAAGGTTAGGGGATGTTTAAAAATGTGTATTACAGGTTAGGCACAACAAAAAAAAAAGGAGAAAGAGAAAGATATAGTGGGATCATGATTGCTTACATTTGGATTTTTGGGATGATCTTTTAATATTTGTACATGAATATTTGTTATGTATACAAGTCTTGTATTGGGATTACGTAAAAAAATTTGGTAGCTACTTTTGTAATTTAACTTTTGTAAATTGCATTTTCTTGATATATGAAATATGTGGTTATATACAAATATGATCTTGGGGTGTTACAGATTTTCCAAATTAAAAAAAAATAAAAAAGATTACTGATTAAATTTATTATAATTAAAAATAAAATATATTTCGTATATAATTTCTCAAAAATGTTAAAAAAAAAATTAAAAAAGATTTAAAAGAATTATCGATGAAATTTATTTTAAATTTAAGGTAAATATATTTCGTTGGTGATTTTTCAAATTAAAAAAAATAAAAAATTATTTAATTAAATTACTGACGAATTAACGATAAAATTTAAATAAATACATAATTAATTAAAATTTGTCGCTACTGTTTATTAGTATAATGTATGGATAATATTTAACTGATTGCTAACTTGACTACTGTGAGGTGTTCTAACGAATTTTAATTAATTATATATTTAGTTAAATTTTATTGTTAATCCGTTAGTAATCTAAACAAATTAGTTTCTATTCTTTTAATTTGAAAATCAATGAAATATATTTTACTTTTAATTAAAATAAATCTTATAATAATCCTTTTAAATCCTTTTCAATTTTCTTTAATTTATGTACGGAATAAATTTACATTTTATTAAAATAAATTTAATCAATAATAATTTTTAAATTATTTTTTATTTTGAAAAATCATTAATATAATATATTTTATGTTTAATTAAAATAAATTTTATCAGTATTAATAATTTTTTTAAATATAAATATTTTTTTATAAATATAAGTTCTTTTTTATATATTTATTTTATTTTATTAATGTAAGTATTTTTTTTCTATTTAGATAATGTTTAACAACTTAGGGGCTGTTTGGTAGGCTCTTAATGGTTACATTAAGAGTCAATCGCTGAATCGGTCAGAGGTTATAAGTGTTTGGCAAAAAAAAAACCACCTCTTAATGGTTACAAACACCTCTTAACCATTTTGACCCTTATGCTCCACTCAACCATTCAGGGGCTGTTTTTTTCCATCTTTGCCCTCATCTACTCACGCAGACCTGCTCGCTTCCATTCCTCTTCCCCTTCCCCTTCCATTCCCGATCGAAGCACATATCCTCTTTAATCGGAGCGCCGGTCGTCCATCGTCAGTTCCCGATCATCCTTCCATCGTCGCACCCCGATCGCCTCATCTCCGGTCGCCTCTTCATCGCCGCCTCGTCGCCGCTTCGCCTTCCACAGCCTCACGTCGCCGCCTCGTCGCCTTCCACAGCCTCGTCGCCTTCCACAGACCTGTCTAGGGTTTGGTTTAGGGTAACATTTTTCTTTGAAAATTGATGGTGTTTATTGCTAACTTAATGTTTGTAACAATATTAATGATGATTGGATTACCTATATTTTGCAATTTCTTGAGGATTTGTGATCTTGATATGAAGAACATGAAGAACATCATCTTTTTTTTCTAAAAAAATGTTTAGAATTGATTGTATTTCTTRAGGGTTAAAATGGTAATTTTGCTGTCATTCAGAAAACAATTACCAAACAACTTTGTTTCATTCAGCACTTAACCATTCTGACCCTCTTAGCCATTCTAACCTCTTAGCTATTCTGAACTAAATCATTCAGCAACTGCCAAACAGCCCCTTAATTTTTTAAAGATTCTTTATAATTTTTTTTATTTTATTATATTAATCAATTTTTTATTATTTTATTATATTAATCAATAATTTTTATTATTTTAAAATATTAATCACCTGAACTCAATGTTTCCTCGATCTGAATAGATCAATCTGGATTATAGGATATCTCCATAATTTATTAAGAAAATGGCTTTCAGAAGCATAAAGATATATCTCACGGTTTTTAAAAATTCCAAAAAATTACTTAACAGATTTTGAAATATTAAATGACTTATTTATTCTAAAAAATTATCTAAATACTTATTTATTTTAAAAAATTATCTAAATACTTATTTATTCCAAATATTAAAATCCATCCTATTTTTTTAAAACTTTTCCCTAATATATAAATAGATACATAAATGTGTGCTCATATATATACACACACGTACGCATAACCCAACAAAAGTACGTTCTCTTCGCACTAAACCCAGATTAAAAAACGTTTCATTTCAATGGAATTATCAATCAATCGATCAGTCTTTATTCAGTTATAGAACAAAACCAACTTCTACCAAGAGTACTTGGTAGAAAAATCCCGTACGATTTCAAGATATTGGTTTAATTAGCAAGCAGATGGGGATAAATCCCTGCGTCATAAGTATAAGCATGGAACCTAGATTCCATGTCCCTTCGAGTCTCAGAGTGTAGGTCTACTCGCAACGTTAATACCTGAGACGCTAGAGATTCATATAACATACCATCTACCATGAACATACAAACATATATATACATAAATACGAAAACCATAACATCACGACGTTATGCATGGACACCATACAACATTCGGACCTAAGTCCTATTATGTATGTGTGTGTGTGTATATATATATATATATATATATAATAAAAATCCTAAAAGATAGACGAAATGCAAGTAGCTAACACCCATTACACCAAGAAACATATATTATCAAACTCGAAACGCAAATGCAAATTTCAGTTGCCAGATTCTTGTAGTCTTCTTCCTTCCCCACCTTCATCTCTCACTGCATGCAAAAAATGATTCATTTCATTATATAAACAGAAGGTAATCAGCATCAACCACTTCTAATTCTCGTTTTTGAAGTCGATAACTTACCATATATAGTAGTAGAAGTCGTCTCTTGTACCGGCGGATCATTCCGGTGAAAAGCATGTGTTATCACATCCGACACCACTTTGTCTTCATCGCCAGGCCTCAATGTCTCCACCAAGTAATCCTTCACTGACCCTCCTTTCTTCTCCGTTATCCTCGTCTCTGCAGGTCGCTCGGACCCCTGCATTTTCGACATCACCGAGCTTCCCACCCCCACCACCGTCTCATAAACCGGACCCAATGTGCCCGTCACTGTCTCCGCAACTTTATGTGCGTAATTTGTCGGGGAAGACGATGAGTTCGTCTCGCTTTTGTTTTCACCGGAGGAACCCAGTTTGGAGACCATCAAGTCTTTTGCCACCGCCGCTTTATCTGAAGTGGCGGATGTTTCGTTGGTGTAGCTGCTGCTGTGGCTAGATGGGTCTCCGGCGACGGTGCTTAGTGGTGCATCTTCAACCGGTTCGGGAGCAAATTGATCATGGGATCCTGTATACACCTTGGGTTCGATTTGATCGGATTCTGAGGATCTGGAGTACTGATCATGGGATCCTGCATGCACTTCGGGTTCGTTTTGATCAGATTCTGAAGATTTGGAGTGATCATAGGATCCTGTATACACCTTTGTTTCCTTTTGATCGGATTCTGAAGATTTGGAGTGGGGTTCATCGTAAACCCCCATTTTGTTGAATGATCGTAGGACATCTGTGATCCCTGCTTCTTTCCCACCTGTGATCAGATCGTTTGAATTATAATACTATACAACAACATTGTACCACGTTCTTTGTTTATGGATAGTACCTGTCTTTGTCGGATCAGTGACTTTTGTTTGGTGGTTCGCCGGAGAAACTACCATTGTTGGGTTAGGGGAACTTGGATCTTGCACCATGCCAGTTGATTTTCCAATGGCACCCCTAATTTGTTCCCTGTTTTGGTCTTCGTGATGACCAACTTGAGATAGACCTGTTCCATAACCTCTGGAATCAGATAAATATTTATAATCTCCGGCAACATAATAGAACATTGTACTTCGTGCTTTGTGGATAGTACCTGTCATCTTGGTCGGAGCAGGCACTTCTGTTTGACGGTTCGCCGGAGAAACTGCCGTTGCTGGGTTAGGTGCACTTGGATGCTCCTCCATGCCGGTTGATTTTTCAATGCTACCCCTCAACTGTTCCCTGTTCACGTTCTGATTAAACCCGTGGTGGCCAACTTTCGCCGGACCTGTTCCATAAATTCCGGTGGGCAGTGGCGGTGGTGCACCAGATCTCTCCTCCTCCTCCCACTGCGCAAACGACCTCACCGGCGTGTCCAATATATCAGAATGAGTAGCGTAAAGATCCTCCGCTAACACTGCCTTCCCCATATCAGTCGGTTCCACCAGACCACTCCTAACCGCCGGCGACTCGTTCACTGCCCAAATTCATTGAAAAAACCAGTCAATCAAACGTGTTTCCAAGTAGCCTTGAAGCAATCAATCAATCCAAAAACATAAAAACTAACTGATTTTTTCAGCATGGTTGTGATGTTCTTCATCATGATGACCATGGCCATCCTTGATTGTGGCCTTCAACTTGTGGACCTTTGTTTTCACCTTCTCTATCTCCGACTTCTTTACGCCATGTTCGTCTTCTTCTAGAAGATCAGCATCTGTATAATAGAATTAATTAAATAGAACAGTAATGGTTCAAAATTCAATCAGTCTTATTACAGAGACAGGTAGATTATGTTACCGGCGGGATGGAGGGGATGATCGTGGTGATGTCCATGAGTGTGGTGCAACTGCGCTTCCATAATGATAGAAAAAGTAAGAGGGATGGTTTTTTGTAAATATTGAAAGTGATGGGAGTCTGTGTGGAGAAAAGTGGGGCTTCTTAAAGAGAAAATACAAGAAAGGATAAGGATACGATGTTAAGGCGAGATAAGTAAATTGCAGACACGTATCACAGGGTCGACACGTGGCATGATTGCTCTTTCATATGGCTCCACCACCACATCATATGACTAAAATTACATCTTTCCGAAAAAACACAGTATTTAAATAGGACTACTAAGTTATTTATGGGAACTTATTCGATAAGCATTTATTGATAAATTTAATATTATTATTTATTTATTTGATAAGATTTTAATTATTAAAATAGTTTTATATATAACAATTTATTCGATAAATGTTTATCGTGGTAAGAATCGTCGTCTTTATTTATCGAGTAAGACTTTTGGTTCTTGTCTCGTTCTTACTGAATAAAATTATTAATCCTTACCATATTCATCTGACTTGATGACTTGGTATTCACTTACCTGAATAAATATTTGGTAAACAATCTCTTAGTTTTTATTATATTAAAAAGTATGATTATGTTGAAATTTTTAAAAAGTTTAACTTATTATGTTAAATATATAATAGTTAAAGTTTGTTGTATATCTATAATTTCAGTTGTAATATTGAAAATTGAAATTTTTTAAATTTTAAATTATAATTTATGTCCTTATAGTTATTTATGTACTTTACTTTATATTTTTTACTTTTTATTTTTCATTTTATGTTTTTATCATATACATAAATAAGCATCTTATCAATACATTCGAAATAAGCATAATATTAAATATTTGTGTATCTAATCTACTATTAATTATCATAAATACATATAAATTAATGTGTCTTATATTCGAGTACACTATGATTTTCGTTCCTGTTATTTTGAAATTTTCGTTTTTCATTTATATGGTTTGTAATTTATTGTTGTTTTGTCTCTGAGACTAAATATATTAAAAATATTTTATTTAAATTAGGGATATTTTAGTCTTTTTGGTTTATTAAATATTGTTTTTGGTTGCTTTTTCGTTAATTAAGTTTTTTTATTTAATAAAATCATATATTTTTTGATGAATGTCAATAATATAATACTCTTTGCAATAAGGGTCCTTATAAATGAAATAGGTAATAAAGCTATTTTATTCATTGTTACTAAATCATCCCACACCCAAAGCTAAATTGATGCTTGCTGTTAGACCTGGTGAATTAAACATATGAAATTTTTTATTATTCTGTTATTATTTATGCTAAAGTAATTAAATATTTTTCATGCAATTTCTTTTTCTTCATATTTTTTGTCCTTATGGTTTTACCTATATCTATATTTAAGGTTGTTATCAGTCGACATCTATTGAATGTGAGAGGAACCTAACTGATCCAATCATCCATTGGATTTTGAATTTTGACAACCTATCCGATCCGATTAACACTGAATAACCGATCCAATCCAATCCAATAGATGATTGGATCGGTTCGATTCTATTCATTGAATACTTTTATTGGATATCCAATGGATAATCCGTTGGGATTGGATCCATCCAGTGTGTTAATTCAATCCAATTCTCCAACAATGATATAAATTTGATTAATCATTTTTAATATGTGTTAATACCAACACAAGGGAAGTTAAGAATTCAAAGTCTCACATAAAACAAATTCCGATTTAAACAATTTAAAAATAAATTAATTAGATGATAGTTGGATGAACAACTGGATGGTCATCAAATGATTAATTGGATGTTGATCGGTTTTTTGGTTTAGTTTTGATTGATTCTGGACTGCCATCAGAGAACCGACCGCTCCAAATTGGACATTGAAATTTTCAATCTAATCCGATCAAATTACAATTGGAAATCCAATTATGGTCGATTGATTTTAATTGGATCAGTCGGCTCCAATTAGATTGGTTGATTTTCTGCACACCCCCCCCCCCNCTCATTCATGATATATGCAATTGTGAAATTTGAAGTGTGACATTATTTGCTAGACTTGTTGCCTGCACACCCCCCCCCCCCCCCCCCCCCCCCCGTATCTATGTTTGTATCCATTCCATATTAAAAAGGACTAAGTTATGATTATCTTGAATTTTTAAAAGATACAACCAATTAAGGATATTGTACAGCCCTTAAAGCTTACAACCTCCCACCATCTACCACCAGATCATTTAAATTTCAAATTACATTTTATACTCTTAAGAAAAATTAGTGATTTGATTTAATATATATCCCTTACCTTTTTTTTATTTTTTATTTTACAGAATTATTATATTAACATAAATAATCATATATTCGTACTATATTAAAAGCAGGAATTTCAAATATTCTTGAAAACCTCTCATGATCTTCATTTTTAATTACATAATTACATTTTATACCCTTATAATTAATGATTTGATTTACCTTATACACCTTACTTTTTCATTTTTCATTATTCATTTTCACCCTTATCATATTAATATAATTAATCGTATATGAACTAAAATGCATAAAAAATGCATTTTTTTTACAAATTACATCATTATAATCGTCTCGTCAATACCTTCATATTGAACCCAATATTGAATATTTTTAGATTTAATAATACTATTAAATATCATTAATACCTATGAATTAATTTGTTTTATGTCAGTACATTTTCATTTTCCATTCTACACATTTACCATATGAAAAATGCATGATTATATATATTAACTACGTACATTGAAAAATGTGTTTTCTTTATCAACCAATTATGAATAATTAATAATTGGATTTAATATTTATTAATATTAGTAATAACTAAATTTTTATTTATATTTTATGAATAATTAACATTTATTTTCTAATTAATAGTAATAAATAACTATTATATTAATCAAGATTATAATTGGAAAAAGTAACAAAAAGCTTCTAAAAAACTATTCCAATTAGTTTACCCAACAAATAAACTACATATTTTTTTTCCAAACAATGTCTAAACTGATTTAGTTGATGTTTGCTTGATTTTTTCTGATTAATTATTTATGGTATAATTATTAGCAGCAAACTTTTTGAGGCCATTGGTAGGCCTCTATCACATATAAGAACCTTGCAATGTCCAAGAAATCAAGGTATATTTTATATTTTCATCCATTACTTCACTAAAAGACATTAAATATGTAAGAAAAATCAAATACCACATTACAAAATTGCGAATTGACTCATGCATGCTAAGCTTTAACGTCGTCGTGTCATACATGAGCCTTGAGTCACGGCATTGCCATGACGACTGCTGTGTTAAGCCTTTTACAATATTGGTTTCTATTTATTATCATTCTTAGATTTGATTATTGCAGGGTTTTTTTTATTGAGGAACATTGTGAAACATCAATCGGTCTATGTGATAAATCATCTTTTTAATGCAAAGCCACATTTTTTCCAGATTAATGTTTCATATTGCTTTTCAATTAAAATAAATCGACTTGATTTTCATAAATAGTTCTTATATAAAACATGAAAGTCCAATTGATTTGCTTCACTTTACTATCGGTTTATCTTTTTGAAATATTCTGGTACTCAAAATCATTTTTTTTTAATCAAAAGAGAGTTTTTTAGTACTCTTACCATATTTTTTTATTAAAACATAGAATTTATATTTTATTTTTCAATTACAAACTGTAAAAACTATAAACCATCAATTAATGCTAAACTTAATCTTTAAAAAGCATGAAGTATAAATAGGGTAAATAAAATATAGATGTAGATCCATTTTGCATTTTTACATAGATGTAATTTATACATTTCCTTTAGAATAATTAAATTATATATGAGGAAAGGTCTTTTATAAAATAATATACATTTATACATATAAAATAATATTAATCTAAAAATATTTAATAATGAACTTATTTTAAAAATACTGACGAGATGGTTATAATTATACATAATTTATAACAAGAAAAACACAATTTAGTTAATCTATGATTTTGTGTTTATAATATAATAAAGGTGTAAAATGAAAACTTAAAGAATATAAAGAGTAAATTATGATCTTCGTCCTTGTGATTTGAACATGTCTCCGACACAGTCTCTCTGGTTTTGATATATTTTTTTTTGTAAGGGTGTCCGGGCCAAAGCCCGACTAATCCCCGGCAAATTTGGAGGCTAAACATGGCCCCACTTAAATGTCGCCAACATTCCCCTCCCAGGGTTCGAATTCGGGTTCATGACTATGCCATGCCCAAGCCTTTACCACTAGACTAGAAGGTCTTTGACTCTGGTTTTGATATTGCAATCTCCATATCTATACTTTCTAATTTATTGTTATTTCGTTGGTTTTGAGTCTAAGGGGCCGTTTACCAAACGCTTACTCGGGTAACCGTTTGCCAAGTAACATTACCTCACCGCATGAATATGGTAAAGACAAAGAATCTTATCCGGTAAGAGCGAGACAAAGACCAAGAATCTTACCCGGTAAGAGCGAGACAAAGACCAAGAGTCTTACTCGGTAAGTGAGGGCGACGACTTTTACCATGGTAAGCGTTTACCGGGTAAATTGTTGCATACGATGTCGTTTTAGTGGACTAAAATCTTACCCGTTAAGTAAATAATAGTGTTAAATTTTATCGGTAAGCATTTACCAGGTAACTGTTTGGTAAACGGCCCCTAAATATGTTAAAAGTTCATCTGTTAACTTAGGTGTATTTTAATCTTTTTGATTTATTTTTCATTTTTGGTTTATTAAATATATGTTTTGGTTTCATTTTTGATATTTTATCCATTTTGATTAATAAAACTATATATTTTTTGATTAAAAAATTATATTATTTTGTTATTGTTTATGATAAAACAATTTAATATTTTTCATACAGGTAGTTTTTTATATTTTGGTCATTGTAGTTTCAGTTTCTTATGAGTTTGATTTATGTTACTAACATCGTTCAAATGCAAGCTCTTGAGTACCCTTTTATATATATTTTTTTCATTAGAGACGAAATAATTAAATTTTTATCGGACCAAACAATTAACTATTTTTATACTACTCTGATCGAACAAATGTATATACTTTTATTAATAAGACGTACAACTATTTGGTCTCATAAATCATCAGTTACACCAAACAAATTAATGTAAGTTTTATATAAATGTATTCCAATAAGTTTATAATATGTTTTTATATGTGTCTTAAAACATTCTTTAAATTGAGGGTATAATTAATTTTTATGACATTTCTTAAATAAAAATAGAAAAGATGTCAAATACAAAAATGCAATTTTTTAAAAATTAAATTAATAAGAAACTAAAACTGTAATGACAAAAAATATAAAGAAAAAAGATCAAATAGTCTAGAATAACCCTTATTTAAATGAATGATTGTTAATAGATTTAATTTCAGGGATGAAAACAGTAATAAATTATAATCCACAGAGATGAAAATTGAAATTTCAAAACCACAAAAATAAAAATAGTAGTTTACTCGAATATATAACTAATTAATTGGTATGTATGAATGATATTTAATACTATGATTATATACAAAAATATTCGATATCAAGCAATTTTGAAGGTATTGACAAAACAATTATAATGGTATAGTTTGTAAAAAAAATGTATTTTTTAAATGTATTTTAGTTCATACACGATTATTTATATTAATATGATAAATATGTAAAATGAAAAATAAAAAAAATAAGAGATAATAAGATAAATTAAATAATTAATTATAAAGAAATAAAGAATAATCTAAAAATTAAAAATGATTTGATTGTTTAAATAACATTCATGAAGGAATATATATATAGACTTGGGATTTTGTGAGACCAAGAGTTTTTTTGTGAGACCCGTACGATCAATTCTCAACTCTTGGATTAGATCTACAATCTAAACATTTATAATCACAAAATTGCCACAAGACTTTTCAATAATTACAAAATTGTCACAGTGCAACTTTAGACCATTAGATCATTAGTTTATAAAGTTGATCAATGAACATAAATTGGTCTTACGAGTCTCATATAAGTGTCAAATAACACTTTAGTTTTTCCACACAAGCATTGTTATTACTAGTGTTATCAAATGAAATGCTAATTATTTTAGCAGTTAAATTATAAAATGCAAGACATTTTTTTATAATTGAAAATTGACGTGCACCCGGATGTGGCGCACCAAACGGTTCAAACGCGATTATACGTTTGAACCATGATGTAGGCTCAACCCAACGTGACGTTATGCATATATACGAAACCAACAATCTGTATAGTGTGCTCCATACATCACATGTTAAAAAAAATATTGTTAGGCAAAACGGAAAACATTTGTTGCATTTCAGTCCCACACATTTTCCACTTTTTTATTGCATCACGTCTAAGGGTTTGACAATTTACCGGCTTGTATCGTGGTTGTAGCGTTTTTTTGAATCAACTTCGTAACGTGAGGGTTATCGAAATGTCCGAAAGGCAACCTGACTTGAATGACACATTGTGTTGTCATTTGTCGGTTCAACTCAGCATCATACGACCATATTTGATCTTAGTGTCAAGTATCTGTTGGCTTGAATAGCCCTCGACCTCAACCCGGGGCACGTTTTTTCAGTGTGCCTCCTTAAGATAGAATTTCCTTCCGCCGTAAGAACTTGACACATTTTGTATTGTGCCTTTCTTTTTCCGTTCGTGAGGACCATCAAGTTGTAGTGATTCTAAATCTCGGATTTTCGTTCATGTTCGGCGAAAACTTGGACAACTTGTTCGTTTGATGCATCATGTTGTTCACCCGCCATTTTGTAAGACAAAGAGAGAAGGAAATGCGAATTGTGAAGTGAAAACGAGAAATGAATACGAGTCGAATTCACAATATATAGCGTAAAACCGAGAATTTTGAACGTTTTTGTGTTTTTTACGAATTGAAAACTTGGTATGTAAACCTCTTAACCAAAACTACATATTTATAGTGTTTTGAGGCCAAGAACTACAAAAAAAACGGCTATATAACGTCTCTCAAATGGCTATATAACGGCTAGATTTTTTGAATTTTCGGCCCAGGCCGGGCCGGGCCGTAACCAGTCCCACAAAACCGACAAAAAGCTCAACCGGTCGTAACCGGCGGTCCCGTATCCGGTCCTCAGCGGTCCTTGGCCGGTCCGGGTCGGTTAATTGTATTACAAGTACATGCTTTATATGTTCTTTGCCAACCAACGACCAAAAACAGGGCTGCTATCTGCTATCTGCATCATTACTTTTTCCTATCATCACAACACATAAGAATCTGTATATTAGAATATGTATTCCACCAATCAATACATATTTATTATTTTTGTATATGTATCCAAAAAAAATATACATACGAAAACAAGAAGCAGCTATTAAGAACGAAATAAGACAAAATTAGTTGGCATTTATGATTTTCATAGCAACTATCGATCCATCTTTCTTATCATCGTCTAAACCAAGATTTTAAACGTAATCATTGAAACTGAAATCGGAAATTCATAATTATATCGTGATCTGTGGAAGTGATGACAGCCGTTTTATTGGTAAAACCGATAAAGAAACAGTCTGTCAATCACATTCCATATCCTGCTGCAACCTTCTTCTATAACCTTCAATTTCCATACTAACTCCTTCTCATCAGAGAAAAACGAAACCATCAAAATATGGCCGCACCACAAGAGGAAGTAGCCAACAAGGTAGAAGCTCTTGAACCTGACTGCTTGGCCCCACCGGAGGGGGAGAACAAACCTCCTCAAGAGAAAAGCCTCACTGAAAGTAAGTTTTGTGTTCTTTGATCACAATTCCACCAGCCCTCTAACTGTTTGTTTATATGCCAGAGTCGGTAGAAAAGCCTGATGAGGAGACACCTATACAAGGTTCTGTGAAAAGAGGTAGTACTAGTAGTAGTAGTGATATCTTAAAACAATACTATTTTTTGTTTATGTTATTAGGTTTTGGATTTTGAATTGATTTTGTTGTTTCAGATGCAGTGCTTGCTCGAGTTGCAACAGAGAAGAAAGATGCACTCATCAAAGCATGGGAAGAAAGTGAAAGGTCCAAAGTAGACAACAGGTAACACCCATGCCAACCACTTGGGTTCTTAAGGCTCACAAACACAAGGTTTCAATGTTTTGGAATTGTTAACCAGGACCCAGAAGAAGCTGGCTGCGATAGGAGCATGGGAAAACAGTAAGAAAGCAGAACTAGAGGCTGAATTGAAAAAGACTGAGGTTATAATTCTTTTTATAATTTAAACATTTTAGTTAAGGAGTCTGTTCGTTTACTTGCTGATGTTTCGAGCTTTGGATGTATGCGATTGTGAGCAGGAGAATCTGGAGATGAAGAAGGCCAAGTGCATCGAGAAGATGAAGAACAAAGTAGCTCTCCTGCACAAGACAGCAGAAGAGAAGAGAGCAATGACCGAAGCAAAACGCGGAGAAGATCTTCTAAAAGCAGAAGAGATTGCAGCCAAGTGTCGTGCTACGGGATCTACCCCTAAGAAACTCCTGCGATGGTTTTCAAGCTAAATGATCCATCTATGTTTATTTGTATGGTAAAAGATTGATTTCCATGTTTTATTGTTTTGTTTGCATTTGTGTGCAGATAAGGAAGAGTATTTGTAACAGACAAGTTCCAAAATAACATTGATATCAAGTAGTTTCAGATCACTGTTCTTAGTTTCTAATCGAGTTATCCACTCTCCAAAACATATAAAAGCCCACTATCCTAACAAGTCTTTAACTGAGTTCTAGACAAAGTGTGGGCATTAGAGTAAATAAGCACATGGATTGCAACCAAGCATTTCTAGGTCTTTTACTATCTATGGTACCTGTCATTTTTAGGAAAAAGGACAGTACTTCTTGGCAAATTATAGCACCTGTTGTGTTGGTGGTCAAGCTGAATTATCATTTGGCTCGCCTTGTAGATATTCTAGATATTCACCGTCATTGGGAAAATCAAGCAGCAGATCCAATGTTATATCTGATGATTTCTCTGCTTTATATGAGTTTGGGGAGTATGAAGTGCTGTTCGTTGCCTCTTCAGCTTCGATTTTGCATCTCATATGCTCGCCGACACTTTGATTACAAGATGCACCAGTTGAGGTGACGGTGAACGTGGGTTCTGCTTGCATCGTGACTACGGAATCTGATTCGACTTTTATCAAGGAGGATGCTCGAGGGCTTGGGATGGAGCAAACCGCCTGATTGAAATCCTTTGCTCTTTGAAATGCTTCTCCAGCTTCAGAATTCCATGCACGAAGGAAGTAGTCACAGTCGCCCACACCAGTTGCTGGGCTGAGGAGCATTGGGTCCATCGACAACCTGGCATCGACCTCCACCCTGGCGTTATCCCATTCTGCCATGTGGTTGGTTGACAGCAACTTGGGATTTGTATCTGCTGACTTGGTTTGCAGGTTAAGGCCTTTGTTGTTGGGGATGCGTTTCCTTAAATGAGAATTCCAGTAGTTTTTTATCTCGTTATCTGTTCTTCCCGGCAGCCGTGCTGCTATGGCTGCCCACCTGCATAATTCATTGTTCAGTTTGTGCAACAAAGAAAAGCTCCAATATGCAACAATTGATCTATAATATTGCTGATAGATACTCTGCAAATAAATAGAGCTAGAGAAGTGGTTCATTACTTGTTACCAAGCAAACTGTGCAGCTGGAAGATTATTTGTTCTTCTTCAAAACTGAAGGTACCACGTTTAATATCTGGTCGAAGATAGTTGGTCCACCTAAGTCGACAGCTTTTTCCACATCGTCGAAGACCTACAGATAACATTATAAGCCCCAAGAGAACCAAGAAGTAAAGAAAATTATTTTCAATGTCAAACCAGTTTGCTAGGCTAACACTCACCTAGAAGGGCGAGGAGCACGAATTGCGTCCCTCCAAGATAATTTACATATCATTCATGGATTTCATGGTGCCACACTAAACATAGCAAGTTTATTAAGTGACTGGTTGACATTCAAGATCATTTTTTGTTCAATCTATGATGGTTATTAGTTTACAGTTAATTTTATATAGGTGTTAACAGATATTATGATAATTCACCAATCTAAATCTTTTGGATCACAGCTTGTTTTAACAATATACCCAGTTTTTCCACCTAGGGTTCTTGCCTGGATGCATCTTCCTTCTCCCCACACTCATAATTAGGTACTACATAACAGGACCAACCTTGAAGGGTACGCCTCTTTGTGGTCCTATCGATTCAGGGAAAGACGGTCTCCATTGGGACTGATTTGATATTTATTGTCATCTAGTACACACAGACTTTGCTGTCAGATTCTAATTGTTTTGAACTTAGAGGACAATCACCTTTTACCATTCCTTGAAGCATAAATAAGAAATGTACTTTCAAGCAAGTACTCACCGATACAACTTTGGCAAAACAAACATGGAGATGGTCGAACTACAATGGACAGTGCTAATTTATGATTCTTCATCTTTGGAGGCAGAGTAATGCCTCAAGAAATTTTTATTTCATCAACTACCGAAGCCTACTAATTCGCATTTCACAAGAGTCCTTTCATATACATATATGTATGTGGTCAAATTTGAACCAACTGGCGTTTGTCTTAAAGGCACCATGCGAGCTCTACAACCCTTGGTTTGAGTTCGAGCACCTTAAGAGGTTTAGGTATACACACATGCATCTCAATGTTGGAATCTTGTGGAATTGATAAAAGTTTCCACAAGCACCGTTAGTGCGTAAAATTCCACAAATGTTACACTACCAGATACACAAACACGCATATGAGTTGATCTGCAAATTAACAGTTAACTGAATAAATTCACCACCAATCTGACCCTCGAATGACACTTAAGTGAAATTCATCAGGATGGCTAGATTGGGGTTGAATGAAAATTGATCATCCGTGTAAAGACATACAGATGATGAGAGGAGAGAGGTAGGGTAGGGATATAGAACCTGCAAGCTTTGGGAAGGAACGCCAAGTGCCATGGCCGTTCTTAGTGATGTAATCAAGAAGTATCTTATCTTCTTCAGGAGTCCAAGCACCTTTCTTCACCTCACCTTTATCACAGCACGGCAGTCTTCCCATCTTCTCCTCTTTTCTTCCCCTCTTTTTCATTCAACACACTCGCAGAGAACAAGAATGTGTGTACGTATTCGAGAGAGAGAAAAAAAGAGAGTCAAAAAATAGATACAGTCTAGAGTGACAGTAAGTCAGTTATGGAAGCCAATTATCGCTGACCGGACCACGACTTTCCACCTCTGAACTAGCATTAACTCTTATGAATTTGTACTATTCCATCTCTGCAACATTTTCCAGTACAATTCATTAGAAACGCCCCAAATAATTGCGAAATTTCAACATTCGGAAGCTAAACGTGTCTACATCAACGAACATAAAAGCTGCTTCAAGCGATACATTATATATAATCAAAGCTAGCTAGCTGCAATAATATCCATCAAAATTAAAACGTCTTAATGGTGGCTGTCACATTAAACCAAAGCCAAAAAAGCTTTTTCCATATAAACATACAAATTTTCACACATGAATGTGCATGATCATACCTGTAGAGAGAGAAATTTGAGAGAAGGTGATGAACAGCAAGCCAAAAAAGCACAAGATTTCACAGAATCTTGATGTTTATAGAGGTGAAGAAGGTGTAAATCTGGTTGAAATTAGGGTTTTATTGGTGTTTATGAAGAGAAACGAAGCCTGCTACTCCATGCCCATCTCTGTGTTCTTTGCCTTTCTTAATGCGTGAGCTCGTGGAGAAACATGACAAAAAGAGTGTGACCTTTTTATTTTATTTTTTTAATTATTTCATATTTGGAAAATGGTGGGTTTTGATATCCTCACTGCCATGCACCTGAACCACGTGTCACGGTGGCTTTTCATTGTTTTATTTTAATTTTAATTTAAAATATATAAGTATCTGGTTGCATATCCGTCTCGTGTACAATCTTATCAAATATTGGCCCTAGATAAAAAAAAAATATTTAATTGTTAAAATAAGGTTGTATTGGTTGTACAAATAAAATTGTTTATAAAATAAACTATAATTTACTCAAATTAATTTAAATTCATTGAAAAAATTCAAATTTTATATTAATAATATTTCAATATTTATCATGTATTTAAACATATTTATCAGTTGATTGGAACATATATTAAAAATAATTTTAAAGAAGCTGTTAAAATAAAATATTGACTCAAAGTCTTCATTTTCTGTATTTTCTTCGTTTAGAGATCATCTCGTTTAATCAAATGCAAAAAAAAATGATTGATATTTTTAAAATTAGTGGCAAATCAACATTCAAGATGTTTAAAATTAAGGGTATTTTCTAATGTGATGATATATAAATATACACAATAAATATGTGATAGTATATACAATCGCAAGTGATTTATACATGATCAGAGACGTAATCATATATGGTTATACATATAATTAAATACAATCACTGTAATATATTGTACACAGTTACATACTAATACTAATATCATGCATGTTCACAATCAGTTGCAATTGTATATAAGATCACACATCGAACTAGAATATATTATACACAACCACATATGATCATGTACAAGATTATTAATATTCACACAACAAAGATTGTCATACTATAGACGATACATGTATTCATGCAGAATTAGCATTTGATCATAAGCATAATCATAGTATTGTGTATTGGAGCAACATGTGGTTGTTTCAATGATTATTTTGTTATATAGGGTCAATCATTTGTCAATCACAAAATTGGTGTTAACTTTACAAACCGTCAATGACCAATCAAATGTCAGATTAGAATCATGTACCATAACACTATTTATATATTGAAACAAGGGTATTATTTTACTTTTAATTTTTTATAAAACAGTTGAATTATGTGATAACCAGTTCTTCGGTTATGATTATTTTTAATTGATGGTGATAAGTTGAAGGGTTAAATGTCAATATATGCCTAAATTGTTTTTAAAAGCCTCAGTGCCTTATATGTTTGTTTAATGATTTTTATGGGATAATTGTTTTATCTCATTGGGTGTGATGAGAAGTAAGGAGGAAAATCAAAATTAGTGTGTGTGTGCGTGCGTGCGTGCGTGTGTGTGTGTGTGTTCTGGAGTCCGAAGCAAATAGAAAAAGGAAATTTGAAGAAGTTGATTATGTGTTATTAACTTGGATAATTATTGTTGTGATATCCATCCTCATATCATCTTCATCTTTGTGATTAATAAGTACAAAATTTTCTTATTTGGTAATTGAAATTAGAACCGTATGATTCTTTATATAGGGGATGATTATAAAACTGTTTTTGGATGTTATAATTAGCATAATTGTGGGATTTTGATGTGATAATCAGATTTTTCGGTTATAGAATTTGAGGTGGTTTTTACAAAAAGTTTGGTAAGCGAAGAATTTTAAGTTGTTTATATATGATTATTTGTTTATTTTATTTCCACCGCCTATGATTATATGCATAGTTTATTACATGAGGTTGTATGAGATTGTGGATTATAAAAGTATTAATCTCCATCGATTGTGTTTTTGGTAATATATAAAAGTGATAGGATAGATTTATCTTATTCATTCTATCTTGGGAAAAAAAAAGACTTATTTTGTGTATTCTTGTGTGAAAAACTAAGTGAAGCTGTTGAAAGTTGATTTTGTGATTATATTTGGAAATCGTTGTTGTAAGATTCATCTTCGAATACGTGCATATAAGGTGAGTTTATATTATCAATTTCCTCTATTTGGGATTTGAAATATTTGAACCGTTTGGTTTTATATGGAAAAAGGCAAACTATTCTTGAAGCTATTATGAGTTGATAACAAAACCGGGTTTAGAACTATAAAATTTCTTAATATGAAGTTTCTGTGATGAAACTGTTTTTGATATCATTCATGGCAAAAATGACAGATTCAGTTATATTTTTAAGAGGGAATAAATGTGACATATCAAGAAGAGGAGTATCATGGGATAAGGGTGACATATCAAGTAAAGGTTTATCATGGGATAAGAGTGTCATATCAAGGAGAGGTGTACCTTTCGATAATGGTGGCAATTGTGCAATCTGAGTTTTGATCAAACATTTTGTTATTACATCCATAAGATGCAATGATCTTGAGTTATCACTTCTGTGTGATATGAAGACTTGAAATTATTGCTTTTATTGAAATGATACAATGTTGCTATGAAGAGGAGGAAAATGGTTTATAACCAGCTAGGCTTTTGATTGCTTGTGTTTTAAGTTAATAATATTTTTGGGTTAATTTAGATGTTATATTTTCAAGTATTTCAATAAAGAAAGTTTTGATTAGAAACTGGAGGGCCTCTGGTTGGTCTTCAAGACTAACCAGAAGGCCTCTAATTCTGATGGAAAATCCCAAGTTTTTCAAATACTCATATTTTGACCTAGAGGCTCTGTATCATGAAATTTAACAAGTACAACCTCTGTATCTAAGCTATGTATTTAACTCTTAGCCTTTAGTATAATTATATAGTTAAAACCTTTTTTAACTTGATTTTTTTCAACTTTAGTAGAGGACCAGAGAGGCTCTGTTTAATTTGCATATTTGACCAGAGGGTCTCTGGTTATGTTAAAGATTTAATTGTCTTTTTATATCTCATCATCTTATTTTTCATAAGCTTTGGTTAAGACAGACTAGAGGCTCTAGTCGTTCAAAGGGCCTCTGGTTGGTCACGAGTCCTTGGTTTTTAAAAGATTTAATTAGATTATGACGTCTCTATATAAATTAAACTAAACATTCATAACTTTCAAAAGCCGTTGACTCACTCTTATACGATTTTTTATGATTTTATATAAGTTTTCTAAAACAGGATAAAACATTAACCTTCAAGTCCCAAAATAGCTATTTATACCATTACACGCTCAATTCTATACCATAATGAACCAAATCCAAATGTTTATCATAAAAGAGCATAATCTTCATAAAAAAAACTTCTGAAATCTAAGCTCTTTCCATCAAAATCATCATTTTGACTACTTTGACTTTGTAAAGTCAAACATTCATACTTTCATCTAATAATTTCAACTAATTCTATTAATTTTATCCATCATTTTACTAAATAACAAAATATATATCCGAATCTACTCAAAATACATATATATAATCAATTTCACATCAAATCTTAACCCTAATCTCCATCAAATGATCCAATACATGAACTAGACAAAGTTAGGATATTTATACCTTCAATTTCTTGTTTGATTCACCAAAAATGATGTTAGATCCTTCCTATTTGTGTGAAATCGCACCTCATTAACCCCAGAAGTGAAATGGGTTGAAAATGGGGCAAAAATCGGGTTTTCTCGAGTTAAACACGTTTTGGGTCGGGTTGACCCACCACCCATTTTGACCACCTAACACTAAAAATTTCATAACTTTTCGTTCGGACCTTCGTTTTTGATGAGGTTTTTGCTTACGCATTTGTAACAAGATAATCTAAAACTTTCAGTAGAAAATTTCCACAAAATACCTCCTAATAAGTGTCTTTTCTATGACTCCTTGTGCTTAACCAGTGTACTTAATGTATTTTTTTAATCAATTCACCTTGTACTTATTGATTAAGGTGATGTTTTATCATCGTTGCCCTTGAGAAGCATCAAACAACAACATTGTCAATTTTGACTTTTCAAAGTCAAAGTTTGGCTTTTTGGTCAACTATTTTGAGGTTAATGTTAAAAGCCGGATTTGAATGGATTTCAGAATTGTTTGATTGGTTTTGGTATTTGATTGGACTAGTTGGAGTTTGAGTATCTGCAATCGTACTTTGGAGTTTTTCTACAAGCGGCTAGACCATTGAGTGCCTTCACTCATTTCTTTTGACCTGATCATTCAGGGGTCTTAAAGGTTTGCAATCAGTGTTATGAAGATTTTGGAAATTATCAGATCTTTGAGTGTTCTCATTCATTCTTCTAACCTGATCAATTAGAGGTTTGAAAGTCTACAATCATTGTTTTGGGATTATGGTTGTGATCTAGGGTTCTGAGTCCTTTAATCACTCTTCTGGCTGGGAATTTTAGATCTAATTTTGGTTATTCAGTCTTCTGAAAGTTTAAAGGAAATTGCCTTATCTTTTATGGTTGACTTGTTGTTCTTGAGACTATGTGCTTAATGCTGATATTTCTCTCGGGA